GACGGGGGAGGAGAGGAGGAGGGGCGGGGAGGAGAGGGGTCCATTTGGAGCATCAGCGAAGTGACAGATGCTGGCCCCTCTGGTCACCTCAGCTGGAACTTGACTCAGGATCCCTCTCCTGTCCTCAGCCTATCCCTGTGGGCCCTGCATTCCTCTGTGTACCTCTGCCCGCCAATCCCTAGAGCCCGCAGGCTCGCACATGGGGTCTGTGAGAGGGACCGCACAGGGCAGCGATGAAAAGTGGATTCTCAAACTGAGAGCAGGGAGCCGGCCGCCTGCGGGCAGCAGAGAAGTCCAGCGGAGGGTGGAGTTGGCCTGAGCCTCTCAGAGTGCAGGTGGAGGCCTGGCAGATGTGATGCGAGTTTGCTCCTTTCGGTTTTCTCCTGGAGGGTAGAGATGAACCTGTAATCCAAGTGTTAAAACCATGGCCCGGGGCAAAACACCATTCATTCTGAATCATCTCTTTTGTTGCATTAAAAACAAAACAAAACAAAAAAATAGAGAGAAAAGGAAATCCCCAAACCAGCCACGTGGAGGTGTGCAGGTGGCTGTGTTTGTCAGGAAGGCAGAAGGATTTGGCTTCCCTTTAGGGGAGGAGACATGGTCCCACAACACCCTGGGAGGGATATATAAGGAGCCTGGGGCTGGGGGTGACAGGTGCAGACCTCGGGTTTCAGCCCAGCTCACGCCTCCTGCCAGCTTTGCTTGTGCTGCTGAGAGCTCAGGGCTGCTGCCCGACCATGAGCACCACATTTCTGCAGACTTCTTTCTCCACCTTTGGGGGTGGCTCGACCTGGGGGGGTTCCCTCATGGCTGGGGGGGGGGGCTTTGGTGGGGGGAGTCTCTATGGGGGAGGGGGGAGCCGCAGTATCTCAACTGCTTCCGTCAGGTTTGTCTCCTCGGGGTCAGCAGGGGGCTATGGGGGTGGCTTCAGTGGAGGGGCTGGTAGTGGTTTGGGTGGAGGCTTTGGTGGAGGCTTTGGTGGTGGCTTTGGTGACTTCGGCGGTGGCGGCCTCCTCTCTGGCAACGAGAAGCTCACCATGCAGAACCTCAACGACCGCCTGGCCTCCTACCTGGAGAAGGTGCGCGCCCTGGAGGAGGCCAACGCTGACCTGGAGGTGAAGATCCGCGACTGGTACCAGAAGCAGAGCCCGACCAGGCCGGAGCACGACTACAGCCCCTACTTCAAGACCATCGAAGAACTCCGAGACAAGGTGAGTCCTCGGGTGTCAGGGAGAGGGGAGCAGGTGGCTGGTGCCAGCTGCCTGGGGGAAATCCTTGCCTCCCCAGGTAATGATGTGTAACCTCGGCAAACTTGGAGCATGGGGAGTGCGTTCCAGGTGTGGATGCCCGCAAACATCCACTCAACCTGGCAGTGCTGGGGATCCTGGCACGCTGGTCTCGACCAGTAGGGGCCGAGGTGGGAGCAGTGTTCACACCCTGCAGGGCTCTGCCTAGAGCGTTCCTTTGGTTCTTTTGCAAGAACGGAGGTGTAGAGATGAACCTCAGGTTCTAGGAGTCCAGAACGCCAGGACTGCCTGCCTCACCCTTCGAATGTCTTGGGTGGCAAAAGCACTGTTGGACCTTAGGAGACCTGGAACTGGGTATGGGCTCTCGCAGCCACTCACTCACCCTTCACTCACCTGCACGAGTTTCTGCAGCCGCCCTCCAGTTTCCCCTGACTGGAATGTTCTGTAGATGCATGGCTGTGTTAAGGTGTGCAGGAGGCCAGCGACCATGAGTTGTCTACAGGGGAGGCTGGTGGAGTACCCCCCACGAGGGCACCCTCTCCAGGCCAGGCAGTTTCCACAGGGGGTTCTCTGCAACCCTGGCTCCTTGGTCTTTCATGTTCTGGAGACGAGGAGGGTGGCTTGGGACAGACCAAGTGGTGGCCTGGACTCTGCCCCGGGGCCCTACAGGCTTCCGTTGTTGGTGTCAGAGGGGAGACGTTTAGTGAGGGGTCCCGCCTGGGGTGCAGGGCAGGGAGAGCAGCAGGGAAGAGAGAGGGGTCCTCTAGACACCAGCTCCCTGTATCCTGCAGATCCTGGCGGCCACCATCGACAACTCCCGGGTTATCCTGGAGATTGACAACTCCAGGCTGGCTGCGGATGACTTCAGACTCAAGTATGTTCCCTCTGCCCCCTCTCCCAACTCAAGGGGCCCAGACCCCTCACCCTTCCTCACTTGGGTTCCCTCTTCCTTTCCAGGTACGAGAACGAGCTGGCCCTGCGCCAGAGCATGGAGGCCAACATCAACGGCCTGCACAGGGTGCTGGATGAGCCGACCCTGACCAGAGCCGACCTGGAGCTGCAGACTGAGAGCCTGAACGAGGAGCTGGCTTACCTCCGGAAGAACCACGAGGAAGTGAGAGCCAGGCAGTGGCTGGGGCCTCTGGGAGGCAGAGTGGGGCCTCTGGGGCCATCTCATAGTTGGGGGAAGGGCTTCGTGGTTCAGATATGCACGCCCCCCAACACAGGGGTCCCCATGGAGAGGAAGGGGCACTGTTGACCCAGACCCCTTTTCTCCTCTGATCCATAGCCAGGCCAGGTGGCCAGGGGGCACTGCTGTCCTGATTTGCTTCATGAACTCACACAAAGGTCCTACTGTCTTGAGGTCCTCCCTCGGCAGGACCTAGAGAGGAGGAGGGACCCTTCGTGCTGAGGGGCTCGTGCGATCAAAGGTCTTCATGTGCACTGGGAAACAGGGGCCCGGGGTGGGTATGGGGCAGAGCCAACGTCACGTCGTGAGTTAGGGATGGAGCCGGGATTGGCACGTGGGACCCCAGACTCGGCTCTGGCTTCCGCCCTCTGTCTCTGAATAGGCCCCACCCACCCTGCAGGAGATGAAGGAGCTCAGCAACCAGCTGGCCGGCCAGGTCAACGTGGAGATGGACGCAGCACCGGGCGTGGACCCGACCCGCGTGCGGGCAGAGATGAGGGAGCAGTACGAGGCCATGGCGAGAAGAACCGCCGGGATGCCGAGGCCTGGCTCTTCAGCAAGGTGGGCCTGACCTGCCAGCCCCGCTCCAGCTCCCTGAGCTCCTGGGAGGCCCGTGGAGCTCACTTGTCTTGTGCGTGACCTACAGACAGAGGAGCTGAATAAGGAGGTGGCCTCCAACACAGAGATGATCCAGACCAGCAAGACGGAGATCGTAGACCTGAGACGCACGGTGCAGGGGCTGGAGATGGAGCTGCAGTCCCAGCTCAGTAAGGTCTGGCTCCCACCCCACCCACCCCAGCCTCTCCCACCCTCCATGGCTGTGTAAGCCTTGGTGTTCCCGAGCTCCCTTTGGGGCTGTTCCTTGCCATCCATTCAGCCCCTCTCCCCAGGCCCTCGGCGGTTTCCTGTCTAGCCTGATGTGATGTCTGTTGGTCTGCTGCCCCACCAGAAAGCCGGGCTGGAGAGCACGCTGGCGGAGACCGAGTGCCGCTACGCCCTGCAGCTGCAGCAGATCCAGGGCTTCATCAGCAGCATCGAGGCCCAGCTGAGCGAGCTCCGCAGTGAGATGGAGTGCCAGAACCAGGAGTACAAGATGCTGCTGGACATCAAGACGCGGCTGAAGCGGGAGATCGCCACCTACCGCAGCCTGCTGGAGGGCCAGGACGCCAGGCACGGGCTCGGGTGCAGGGGGCAGCGAGGGAGGGGCCAGTTGTGGTTGAGGGGGTACAGTCATCTTAAGTGCAGCATCTACAGTGAAAAGAGAACAGAACAAGGAATAAGAGGTTCTGGACTCTGCGCTCCAGTCTTTGGCCGTTACCTTGGGCAGGTGATGTCACCTCTCTGGACCTGTGTGCCTTCTGTCAATGATAGCAGTTGGGCTCGTGGTCTTGGATTTAATGCTGGTTCCATTCCCAACGTGAAATAGATGGGGTGTTATCATAGATCAGAATCTGTGTGCTTGGGGGTGGCTCTCAGGATGTCCCAGGCTTTAGAGAAGTCAGATGTGGGAGTGAGGGTGGTATGAGGGCTGGAGGGGACGGCTTAGCTGTCTCCCGGGGCCTCCTGTAGGCAGACCTGAGCTTTTGTCCGTTGTTTACATCTGCTGCCCCCTCTCTTTCAGGATGGCTAGCATTGGTACCAGAGAAGGTAAGAGGCTTCACTCTTCTTTCTTTTTTTTTCTGGCCACACTGGGTGGCATGCGGGATCTTAGTTCCCCGACCAGGGATTGAACCCGTGCCCCCTGCAGTGGAAGTGTGGAGACTTAACCACTGAACCGCCAGAGAAGTCCAAGAGACTTAACTCTTCCTGAGTTGAGGGGAGAGGGAAGCTATTGAAGCCACAATTCTTCTTGGAATGGGGAGGAAGATGAAAGAGGCCAAGCATCCCAGTAGGGTGGGGACATGCCCATTCCAGTAGGTACCTCTTCCCCAGTGGGACCCCTCTATCAGCCCCAGGTAGGGTTGGGATTGAAGATTTACTGAGAACCTTCCAGGATGAGTAAGCTTTGTCCAGGGTATAGCCCCCCCCGGCTCCCCCTCCCCCGCCTCCCCCATCCACCCGCCGCCCCACCTTCATGCACTTATGGTGAGATGGCCATGATTAACTTCTGTTTATGTACAGCTTAAAAGCCCTGACATTCTTGCTCACTGCAGAGCATACCTGCCGCTGCCGCCGCCAATCTCTTTGATGAGTGATTCAGCACCAGTCCTCCTGGCAGCTCTGGGAGGACTGGCCAATGGCCATTATCAGGGGTGCTGTGCAGTTCTCCCAGAGCTCAGCCAAGGTCCTGGCCCCTTGGGAGGGAGGACAGGGAGAGTCTCCCACTCTAAAGCTTGCCTCTTCTTTCTACAGCCTCCCTGGGAGGTGGTGGCAGCGGCAAAGTCCTCATCAACGTTGAGGAGTCAGTGGATGGGAAGGGGGTTTCTTCTCGAAAGAGAGACATCTAAGTGCCCAGAGCAGGAGAGACACCCCCGTCATCCCCACCCTCCCCAGGCTGAGTGGACAGCTGGCCGCAGGGACCAGAAAAGCAAACTCGGGCTTCCCTCGTGGCACAGTGGTTAAGAATCCACCTGCCAGTGCAGGGGACACGGGTTCGAGCCCTGGTCCAGGAAGATCCCACATGCCGTGGAGCAACTAAGCCCGCGAGCCACAACTACCGAAGCCCGCGCGCCTAGAGCCTGTGCTCCGCAACAAGAGAAGCCACTGCAGTCAGAAGCCCTCGCACTGCAACCAAGAGCAGCCCCCACTCACCGCAACTAGAGAAAGCCCGCGAGCAGCAATGAAGACCCAACACAGCCAAAAATAAATAAATAAATAAATAAATAAATAAATAAAAGCAAACTCCAGGCACTGCCTTCAGAGGGTCCAGCTCGAGGGGTCCCTCATCTCCTAGTTGGGTGCTTCACATGCTTTCCCAGACCCCGTTTCAGCTTTCTCACCTCCCTTACAGCAGGGAGGTGCAAAAAGCAGCTGTATTGTGTAACAAGCTCATGGTTTGTACCATGTCCATGCAATAAAGAATTGCTTTTCCTTTTGCAAATATCTCTTGGTAGTATGTCTAGTTTTTCTTGTTGGCGGCCTCTGAGGAAGCCCAGGGCCCACACGCTGCCATCTCCCCGACTTTGAACTCGTCCCTGCGCGGTCACCCTTCGGGTTATACCTGGGGCGCCTGGGACAAATCAGGTGGCTCAGACGACTTGCTGTCTTGCTTACCCCATTTAGTGATCACAGAAGCAGGAGGCGGGGTTCCTTAGAGCAGTGTGTTGTACTTAGCACAGGGCTGGACACATGGACTAATCACTCACTGGTTGGTTGACTGAATCGATGGCTCTGGTTCACCACTGTATGGTTGGCACTGTGCTAGGCACACCCACCTATGGGTCTCATTTAACCAACTGCTGGTGGTCAGGATTTATTATTCCATCTTAGAGATGAGGGAACTTAGAGAAGCTTACAGATGAGGAGGTCAGGCTGATGACTTGCCCAGAGGCCTCGTGGATGGGTAGTAAGTAGCAGGGCTGGGGCTGGGCCCCACACCTGTATGACTCCAAGACCAGGGCTTGTTCTGGGACCCCAGGCCCTTGTTCTTCACAGCTCATTGACAGGACCTTCCTCCTTGCTTCTGCTCCTCACCATATATACCCCCTGAACCTCCCCTCTTTTCCAGCCAGGCACACCTGACCTCCAGAGCGGCTGAGCCAGTTCCCCTCTCTGCCCCCCTGCAAAGCTGGCCCCCATGCCCCCCGAAGCTGCCATCTCCCCACAAAGCACTGAAAGTGCCCAGAGGGAAAAACACCAGCTCCAGGAAGTCCTCCCTGATTTCTCCAAGCTTAAGTCCAAAGCAACACCAACCCCTACTTGCCCTTCTCTGTCTAAATCCTGTTCCTGCTCTCCAGTCACCAGTCTCCACCTGAGGGCTCATTAGAGCAGCGGTCTCCACGCACACCTGATTTGTCACTTCTGGTTTGGGGCTGTTTCCTTTGGGATTCATAGCTCCTGATAGAGGGCGGGGAATGAGGAAGTGGAGAACTCTGGGTGCTATGGCTGGGCTGGGCTCGGCTGAGGATTGCAGGGAGAGGGAGAACTGGTTTCTTTGTTCTGCTGGGAAGAGCAGGTAGGAGGTGCCGCTGTTCTCCTTAGAATCAGATCATTTGGGAGGAGGGCCAGGCCCTCTGAGAGGGAGCCCGTAGGTCTCGCTGGGTACAACTCCTCACCCAGCAGCCGTGGCTGGAGAGAAGGTGGCATCTGTTCTTTCTGGGGGAGATTTAATCTAGAATGTGTCTCCTGAGTACACACTTTGAGGCCAGATTTCCCTGGGGCCGGAGGAAGGAAACGGAATTTATTAAGTGTCTGCACACTGCCAGGCTCTGAGCAGGACATTCAATGGATGGCATCTCATTTATCCTCCAGACAGCTTTTGAAGCTGGGGGGTCAGACTTCAGAGGCAGTTTTCAGAAGAGGAAACTGAGGGCCAGGGAAGCTCAGTCACTTGAATGAAGCCATAAACTAGGAAATAGTGAAACTGGGTTTGGGACGGTCTCTCTGATTCCAGACCTTTGCTTTTTCCCTGGATGCCATAAGGGTGACAGAAGCTGGCAACACCTTCCTTAGAGGGTGTGATGGTCTGAAACCCATTTCTTAACCTCTAGGGGCAGCCTGTTCAAGTGTCACACAGCCATTACAGTCAGAAAGATTGTCGTCACATGCCATCTTGGTCTCCCACACTGTGGTTCAAGCCCAGAGCACCAGGTTCCACGTCCCCAACATCCTGGGCTCAGCCAGGCTCCTTTTGGGAGCTCTCCGACCCCACTGTGGCCAGGCTGCTGCTCGTGCCTCGCCGACTTCCGGGCCTCTGTTGAGAGGCCTCAGGCCTTCTAAACAGCCACCGAAGAGTCTTCTTTGCTTGCAAAAATAACCACATCTGCAAAGGTGCAGGGTGGCATGGGGGCTCAGCCCTCATCCAGTGAGCCTTCTCTCCGGGCCAGACCCTGAGCTGTGGGGGTGGGAAGGGGAGGCTGCTTCTATCTCCCCTGAGCTCCCATTTCTGCTCTGCTGGGATTCAGGGACAGGCTATCAGAGAAGCCCTTGGAACTTGCCAAGTCCTGTCCCCTGTCTGACCGTGGAGTGAGAAGCTCACACCTAGGGATAGCTCATGCCTGGCTGAGCCCTTAAATCATCTTCGGGGGCAGAGACAGCCCGCTTCCTGCCCCTGGATGGAGGTGGGGCTGGGTTTCTAGCCAATCCGGGAAGCAGGCAGCAGGCCTCTCTCCTCCCCACAGAGACGGCAGCTTTGGGACTAGGGATTAGGGCCCAGGGGTGTGTGCTGTGTTCAGGCTGGCTTTCCCAGAGCAGGCGTGGGGCATGCCCACCCCTCTCTCCCTGAGGACTTTGGTCCCTGTTTTCCTCCGGGTCTCAGTTTCCACATCTTTAAATGGAGGTGTCTGACTGGACGAGCTGATCTCGAGGTTGTCTATGGGCTGCTCTGCGTTCTGGAACCTCAGAAGGGAGCCTGGCCTGTGACAGCAGGGGCTGTGTCTGCTCCCTGCACTGCTGAGTCCTCAGAGGGGTAGCTCAATAAATAGCTGTTGCACGAATGCATGAACTTTCTTCTCTTTTGCTCTTTCTTGCCTTAGACATGGCTCTGGACATTCGCTCATGTCTTGGGCATGTGCCCACCTGGGGGTCACCTGTCCCTCCGTGGGCAGCTGGCGACACGAAGGGAAATAAGGAGGTGGCAGCTTTTCCCATGAGATTTGCAGCTGGGGTGACCCCACTTGATACCAT